TAATTTTATAGTAAAGATGCAATGATGAATGGTTTTCATGTAGCCAGCAGCTGTCCCCACACCGGAGAGAGAGACAAAGAGGGAAAGAGAGAGGGGGACAAACAAAGAGAAAGAGTGAAAGAGGAATATGAAATGTGAGATGCTCATTTTGGTCCCTTGCTTCATAATTTCTGTGGATGTATTTATCCTCCATGGATTCAGAGGGAGCAATGAATTCGTCGTATGAATCAACACCATCAATCTTATTCACTTCTGCCTGCCAGTGAGCCCTGGAAGTGGTGGTCAGGCTTCAGTCCGCACACTCAGATCGGGCCACACTGACACACACACATGCACGCTCGCACACACACTGCTCAGACGGGGGTGACCCTGGCCTGACCCCCCTGCTGACCCCCAATCTGTTCCCCAACCTCACACCATGAGAGCCCGGAGCACACTGGGATAGGGACACGCACGCTCAAAGACACACACGCACTGGCACATTGTGCAGCGTGTGATCTGATGGATATTTCCTCAGACAGTACCATGTGTGTGGGCAGAGTGCGTGCGGACACCATGCGTACGTGTGTATCTAAGTGTGCATGGTGCCATAGCCTCTGCCCCCTCCCACTGGTGTTAATTGATTCTTGGTGCGCTGTGCTGATTGGTGTGAGGACCCCTAGAGGCGGGCTCAGTTCACCCCCCAACACACAAACACCATGCCCCCACCCCATTTTATGTAGCACCTGACTCACACACATGCACAGTACACACCACACAGACATACAGTATCTCTATGTAATGTATGTCCACAAACTGTTAAGAGCGCATGTGTTGACTGTACCGGTGAGAAAATACACATGCACATGCACATGCTCACACTTGTGTCTTTCAGGGGGTTTTCACACCCCGGTAAAGAGGAAGCTGGCTAGCTGACATGAGCAGATTGTGGATCATATGAGACAATCCGCATAGAAAAAATCAGTCTTAGAGGTGATTCGTGAACAATATAGGTGGGCGTAGGTGTGTGTGCATGTGTGTGTGAGAGAGAGAGAGAGAGCCAAAAGAGACAGTAAGAGAGATGAATCTCCGGTTATTAATTTCCAGCCGCGGCCCCTGGGTGAGATGTTAATATAGGGCTGATTGTGACTAATTTCTTATTAATTGCCATCAGCGATTACACAGTGGCCAGTAATGTGGCTAATTTGTTGAAATGAATTTGGTTTTTGGAGGCATTTTAATTGCTGCAGGTGGGCAGCGTCCTCTGCACACTGTCACTTTTGTTTTTCAGCAGGAAACTTTTGACGTCGCGCCGCTGCTGTGTGTGACTAGTAACAGCAATAATGTGTGAATTATGTCGCATTATCCTAACAGCACAGAATGTGTACATGTCTGTGTATGTGTAATCTTCGCATGCGTTTCTCCCTCTTTGTCTGAGGACATGCACGGAAACAAATCTTTGCAGCATCAGTGTAAATGTCCTTGATATCTTATTCATCAGCCTTATGCATCCTCCTCCTTCCATATATCTTCGCACGTTCACGATCATTACAGCAGGGATGGAGAAACATTTAAGTTGTTGCCTTTGTTTGTTGAATGTTTATAGCTTCCGTTTGCACAGTCTCAACGACCACTGAGGAACCAGTAGATACAAAATCCAAATCCTCCTATAAAAGAGGAGATGCCCTCTGGGCAGCCATAGCTCATAGTTGGCCTGATTTAGTGGCAGCCAGGAATCTGGGCTTGAATAAAGACAGAGAGAGCGAGGGCAGAGTGGGAGAGAGAGAGGAAAAGATAGCTCCCTGTGTGATAAATAGCCCAGGCTCCCTCTATTGCATTAGCCGTCCGGGCCGATAGATTGCGAGCCCAATAGACCCAGACGTATGCGATTGGTTTCTCATATAAAAGTTGCATATTAAATTCCTTCACAGGACTGTGCCCCCCAAGCATGAAGGAGGGAAGGAAGAAATGGGAGTTAAAAAGCAGAAAGTGGAGAAAGCAATGGAAGAGCAAGAAAAAGGCTTTTTATGAGAGATGAAACGAAGGCAGAGTTGGGGAAGCCTGAGAAGAAGCGGGAAAGATAATGGCAGGAGAAAAGTAGCTTGATGGTAGAAAAGACAAATGGTGATGTCATGTATTTAATAAGTCCGTGGATATTGGGCGATGAGTGCGACCGTACGTCCATTTAATCAGTATTGCTTCCCAATGAAGATTTCTCTCCTGTTTGTGCACGCCCGCCCTTCTTCTGTTCTCAGCCGTTCTCCACACACTAACGACCTCTCTAATTGTTTCCAAGCTCATTAAGATGCTGATGTTTTAATAGTAATTAATCCGTCATTTGCCTACATGCAAACGCGGGCCACTGAGGTTTGTTCATCGCTCTTTCAATACACTGATAATGCAGTAGCCTAGTCAAAGGAGACAACATCCTGCTAATTTAGCTCATCACTGTTAATTGGTTGTTAAGTGCCTTTAATTACCAAGCAGGCTTTGGGATTTAGGTCTGCAGAATGAGAGGGATCCCCGTGATTGTCCCTGTTCGTCTAATGAATCTTGAGTGAACTTTGAAAAGTGGAATAAATGACCAGAGAGTGAAAAGAGACTCGCACTGACCCCGTTCTCTTTTCCATCTGAGCTCCCTCCTCATTTCCTTTCTTCTTTTCCTTCCTTTTCTCTGTCCTCCTGTCCCTTCCTCCATCTCTCTCTCACTCCCTATCTCTTTCTCCAGATATTATTAACTCATTAAGTTTTTTTCATTATTTTTAATAAAAGATGAGTTATGGCTTTAGCCTCACTGTGGCAGCATCCCCCATACTCTCGCCCTCCCTCCCTCTTCTCTCTCTCTCTCTCCCTCTCTTCCCCTTCAACCATTTACTCCCTCCCTTCCTTTTCCTCATCCTCCCATTTTCTCCTTCCTTCTCAGCCATATTGCGCCTGCTCTGATACATCTGACCCCTGAACTGCAGTCTCTGACCTCGGTGTTGCCGGTTGCAACCTTCTGTCCGTCTTCTTTCCTTTCGCCACACTCACTCACGTCTATCAATCATCTCTCTTTCTCATAGCGCTGAGCAGTCTTTAGATGGCATTCATATGATTTATGATTCATGATTCTCTCTCTTCTCCTCTGTCTGTGTGTGTGTGTATGTGTGTGTGCAAGATAGGAGAACAGAGAGAAAGAAAAGGGGAGTGCGAGAAAGACAGACTGAGGGAGAGGGAGAAGGAAAGGGGCTTGTCGATGACAGACTTGAATAATGACAATATCTATGATTGATAGCTTATATAGGGCTAGTTGAGTGTGTGTACTGTATTTTTGTCTGTGTGTGCGTGTGTGTTAGAGTGACAGAAAGAGAGTTTATGTGTTCCGTTTTCACCACATTAATCTAATGTTAAAGGAGCCATGATGAATGGTTTTCATGTGGTTTGAGCTGTCAGTGGTCACAGCGATGGAGAAGAGCAGCAAGTGACCAGAATTACCAAGGGACACATGATTTTTATGTAGGAATAGAGGGACTCTAGAGGGAGAAGAAAAAAACAGAATCAATTTTCTCTCTGATATTAACCAACTTTAGTGTTTTGAACTGTGGAAGCCCGACGTAATTCTTTTTCTTTCTCACAATGTAAAGTTTCTTTCTCAATTTAAAATTCCTTCTTCTTCTTTATTTAGTTTTGTATTCATTTATTTTGCAGAGCCACGCTGATACTATACATCTGATAGTAATGTGTGTTTAAAGCTGCAAACTGTCAGGTAAAAGATGGCCACAGGTATGGTCACATCTGCTCTGCTTAACAAGCCTCTCTAACCTGCAGCTCTAAAAAAAAAAACAAATATTATGCAACAAATACAGTTGTGGTGAAATGAAAGCACAACCTCTTTCTATTCTAAGGTATTACGTATTAGAAAATCATAAACAAATTCTGTTCTTTTAGATAATAACAGATTCAGATGAACAACAACACATGACATATTACACTGTCATTAGTTATTTTGCAAAAACTAAGCCAAAATGCAACAGCAATCTCTGAAAAACTAATTACACTGTGATTCAATAGTGTTTGCTGTCAGAGAGGTGACCTCACATTTGACTACTTTGATATACAAAGGATTTCATGGTTGACTCGGTGACTGCAAGGTGTTCAGGTCCTGTGGCTGCCAAACATGTCCAAATCACTACCCCTTCACCGCTGTGCTTGACAGTTAGTACGAGGTGCTTGTGCTGAAGGGATGTTTGGTTTTGACCAAATGTGGCATTGTAATTATGGCCAAACATCTTCACCTTGGCTTCATGTGTCAGAAGGAAATTGTTCCTGAAGTGTTGAGGTTTGCTCAGATGCAGCTATGCCAACTTCTACTTTTAGAGAAAATGAGCTTTCTCTTGGCAACTCTTCTAAAAAATTTTTTTTAAAAAAACAACTATATTTTTTCTAATGATACTGTTATGAAATTTAACATTTAATATGCCAACTGTGTAGAGTCTGAAATGTAGTTTTTTGCATTTTCTCTGAGCATTGCACGGTCTGACAGGGGGGTGAATTTGCTGGGACGTCCACGCCTGGGAAGACTGAAGACAGCTGTTTTGAATGATTTTTCACTAGTAAATATCCTCTCTCATTCTACAGTTATGGACTTTACATTTTTGGGAGATTTCTATATAATCCTTTCCAGATTGATAACCAGCATTGTGTTAACACACACCTGAATGCTCGAGAAGCAGCAAACTGTTAACATGTCTGCTTTTATACAGGGTCTCACTTAATCAAATCCTTTTGAGTATCAGCACCTGGTTGCTGGTTAACCTCCGAATTCCAGTAGAAGCAGTAAAAGTGAACTTCTGCTTCTGCATTTTGGTGTAGGTTTTCTTAAATACATAATTACACCATGTAATTTGTCATGTGTTGTTCATCTGAAGCTACATTAACTTAAAAAAAATGTTTGTCCTGATATGTAAAGGCTTATAATTACCTCCTTCTTTTTTTTTTTTTAAAACATAACTGTAAATATGGAAGTATGTGACCGGTTAAACTTGGATCTCAAGTTTTTTGAGAAAAGTTTTTGCTGTGGGTTAGTTGTTTACTGCATATGAGAAGATGCACAATGTTAGCCTGACAGCTTGAGGTAAAGCACTTAATTGCTCTCAGGTCAGGTGTTTAGCCTGAGCTAAATATGTCATGTTCTGTACCAGTATCACTTTTTATTGAGACATTGTCCACGCAGCTGCCAGCTGATCAATGATATCCCATCAATTTTATATAAGAACATATCAACACGTAGTAATTTGCACTTTTACTCGACTGACTCCAAATGTCATCTTGCTGTCAGAACTCCCCTCTCAAACGATTTTAAGTTGTTCTTAAAATTTTGTTGCTTGTCAAAAAGCCCCGTCGAAGAGGAGAGAGCCTTTCCTGAAAAACATCCAAGTCTAGTATTTCCAAGCTTGCATTTGCTACAAATTCCTTAAGTTATGTTTGGCATAAATGTCTGTAGCTGAACAAAGGCTCTTTTTGATCTTCATATTTTACATAGTCACGCGTGAAAGCAATGCCTTGCTAGAAGACATGAAGAATGAAATACGTATGAGATCTGTTCAGCATTGAGTAAGACAGACTTGAAACAATCAAAACTAATCCGTTATTTCTCTAGAGTTGAATTGAAGAAATGACTCTCCTAGCTATAAACCAAATAAGTGTTTCCATGTGGCGAACTGGATTGTAAAATCAGTTGTTTCCAGCTACAACCTAACATGCATGTATATATATTAGTATACACTTCTGAGTCATTCCTCAAAGGAAATAGCTTGAAGAATGGAGAAGGTTAAGTGTTAATGTGGCAACAGTTTGAAGCGATGTTTGCTGACAGCTGTGATGAATTGTTTCCAATGTGCTTGTGTTCCTTACCATACACACACGTTTTCTGCATCATCCCACAAGATAAGATCTGTTCATGCTTAACGGCCTGTATTGTCTCCAAAAACGGTGGTACGTATCATATTTTTTATTTGAGCTGCTCTTTATTGGTATGTTTGCTTTTTGAGGAACAGTGCATGCCATTTATTCAGTCCATAGTTACATTTACAGTATGATTCGATGCTTACACTTACCAGCTCTGTACCACAAAATGATAAACGGTAAAACAATATATGGAGGGGGCTCCATTCTTTAAAATCTACACATAACATTATTTCACATGCTACACATTGAAAGGTCACATATTTATCAACACATAAATAAGTGTAACGAGAGTCTATTTGTCACCTTCTCCCTTCCGTTATCTCATTTTATTGAACATTTTTAATTTAACACCAATTCTTCTTTTTTTCCCATTCTGAAGACGTGGTATTTTGTATTCCCACTGGAGTGCACTCTTGTGTCAGGATATAAAATATCCAGTCCTTCATAAAATTGATGAACAACAAGTTAATTGGCTGGTCTTCACTGGGTCCTGCTGTGCTTCATTACTATCCACAGTTAGTCTGCTTAAGAGCATTTTAGGGCCATATGTTGCCCTGAGTGACAGTTGGCTGCAGTCAACTAATTGTGTTAAACAAGTTCAGTTTTAGTTCCATCCAAGTAGAAGCAGCCTCATTTGTTTGGTCCTGGGTGGACTGAGCTGGCTGTGCGTGTGCAGTTGATTCTTACCGATGAGGCGTAGAGTTGCAGAGATCCTTATCTTTGTATTCATAAAGACACAAATGAAAAGGAGCAAAGGTTTGCTCGTCTATTCACTCACCGTTGGTAATGTATACATACATACGGGGCTACACATAAAAGTTTCAGGAGGTAGGACGGGTCCTGTGGAGGAAATAGCTGTATGCACAAAAAGAATACTGCAGTATTAATGTACAGATCAGACAGCTGACCCAAAAACACAACAATAAAATTATGTAATAAACTAAAAGAGAACTTGTAGTATCTGGTTAAAGTAATTACTGGATGGCAAACATGTTCGAATAATTATGTGCTTTAATGTAGATTTGATGGACTGTGTGCCTGCGCACACTCGTATGTGTGCTTGTTGCTACAGAGCTCTGTGCTCTTGTCGGCAATATGGGCGCAGATTTTGTCCTTTGTTGTTGTAACTGAGTCAGACTTTGAGCTCATGCACATAAAATGAACAATTAAGTCAATGATAGTCACAAAATGCATAGAAAGAAATGATAACAGGATGTGAAACTGGATAATGTAACTCCTTTATTCTGGAAGCAAATTTCTCAGCCTAATAAGCATATGGCAATATGGCCCGATATGCTGCGGATGACACAGCTAAGATGTGTGTGTTACAGCTCGTTTGTTCTCAGCTGGACTGGTTTGTGGGGGCTAAAGGGATGTCAGAATGTATTTCTACTTACATGATGTACTATGGATGTTTCTACTGTGATACTGGATGCTTCCAAATAGAGGGGGTTGTACATCTTTGTCTATCTTTTGTCTGTTTGTTGCCCTTTTGTCATCGACCTGATGGATTCCTGTTCTGGGTTGTTTTGTAAGCACACCATCCACCTCGCCAGCACAAGCTCAGCACAACCTGGGTTCACTGAAAAGAATGAAGAAAGACATATATGTGCATTTGTGTGAGTGAGAAGATTTTATTTTTCAGAGTATGACAGAAACACATTATATGATTTAGTGCAATGACATACTGAAAGCAGGGTATCATATAGAGCTTTTTTCATAGCATCACATTCATCTGAATGTTGGTGCTGCAGCATTGTCACTCCAGTCTGGATGCAAAGCATGATTTTTTTTTAAGTACTCAATTTATATATGATGAGGTTTGAGTCATGACTGTGCAGGCAATAACACCAGTGCTGACACAAACTCATCTGCAGCATTCTGTATTCATGTTCATGAAGCATAATGTAACAATAGCCTGAATAATAATTTACCTTCCATCACCACTGACATCTGTGGTAGCAGTGCCATTTGCAAATTGGATAGATGTTGTGGCTGTCCTGCTGTTCATTTCTTGAAGCATGACGTTTTGATGTGTTAGACCTGCTCTGCAGGTGGCAGGGGTGTGGCCGCACAGCAGCGTTACCTCTGTAAGCTGGTCTCTGGCTGAGGAAATTCAAGGTAAGATGGAAACTGGGGATAAGGATATACTGTAAAATGTATTGACACTATAATGTTTGCTGTCTTATACAAAACAGTCAGAAACTAAAAACTGGACTGGTACGTATGTGTATGGTGCATTTGTAGTCTTACTGACTTTAGGCTACAAGTCACATTTAACCATATATTCATACAAGGTTTTATTCTGTTGCTTTAAACACATTATCTACCTCACATCCGTGGCCATTTTTTATTTATTCTTTCTGTCATGGCCAAATTAGAAAAACAAATTAACCTAAAATGCATGTATTTGAACTGTGGTTAAGTTGAAATACCTGAAGGAAACGCACTCAGGTAAAGGGAAGATGCAAAGTCCACACAGAAACCAGACACCAGAAACCTTCTTGCTGTAAGTGCTAACCTTTTCACCACCATGCCAGCTAACTCAGCTTTATTGATTTTGTACTCTCCAAGAAACTGATTTTTTTATTCCTTACTTAAACCTGGCAGTGTGACTCAAATATTTGTCCCTCATCAGAGTTTGCCCGGGTGATTACACCCTCATTAGCCAACAGCGAATGAGGAGGAGGTTTCGCTGCAGTCTGGAAATGGTTCTAATGTTGTTCAGAGAATGTTGGATATTTTTTGAAGCAGCTGATTAAAGTCATGAAGAAAGGTCCTTTTTATTGTGCTGTGGTGTATCATGCTCCATGAAGTTTTCCAGATTGGTTACAACTGGGGATTTTAACATACAAATTAATGACAACTCTGACGTCTTTGCCAGAGCTTTTATCAGCATCACGAGTTACCAGCATGCTTATGGCCCCACGCATACCAGAGGACACAGACTGGAGCTTGTTTGTACTTTGAGTTTAAATGTTGTTTGGATTTGTTTTAGGAACATTTTTATTTCTGATCATCACTGTATTCTATTTAAAAAATATTTGTGGCTTTCTTCCCCACTCAGGTCTCAAATTTCAAATTGTTTTTCTGCTGATATTTTTTTATGCTTTCAATTTATTCTTATCCCCTAATAACAATGTTAATCCTTTAATATATGTTATATTAGTCATTGTCTTATCAGTTTAGATAAAGTATGTCCTGTTAAAAATGAGGACGTACTCTTCTCCTTGGATAATTTATTTATGGTTTAAGGTGTTCTCGTCAAAAAGTTGAACTTGTTTACCCATTCATTGCTTTCATTTAAATAATCTTTTAGTTTGTTTTAAAACTTCAGAAGAAATACAATGGCTGCTTGCTTTTCAAACCTAGTTTCAAAGACCAAAGGTAGTCCTAGGGTTTTATTTGACATTGTGATATTGTTACTCCTGCTCCACCTGCTGTCACAAATATTTCAAAAATCAATTATGAAAATGTTCATACTTTCTCTGCAGGAAAAAAAACAAAAAACAGAAATGTGAGAAATAATAATAATTCAGCATCTTCACTGTCTGTTCCTGCCCCAGCTGAGCCTGTTATTTGAAGATTTTTACCTATTTCTTTTCTTTATCTGTTGAAATTAATTGAGTTATTGACATCATCCTCCTGTTCTCTTGATATTTTACCTGCAACTCAAAAATGTTTCATTTACTAGTATTGGTTCCTATGTGCCTACTGTAATCGAACTTCAGTGATGGCCGATCAAGTCCCTGCTTATTTAGTCACATATTTTAAAAAAATATATTATTTTTTTAAAGCTTAATCTTTCTCTTCTTAGCACTTTTAAGACCAATCTCAAAATTGTTGTTCATTGCTCACCCACTGAGCCTAACCTCTGCCTTTGATACTGCTGAACCTCACATTATGCTCTATAGACTGGGATACTAGGTGGGTGTATCAGGTTCTACTTTGTAGTGGTTCTTTTCATATCTGTCTGGATGTCTTTGGTCTTCTTCCAGTTCTCTTATCCATGGTGTGCCACAAGGTTTGATTTTGGGGGCCTTTACCATTTCTGATATATATCAGCTCCCTCTTCAGAACATGGTGATGCATGCATTTTTAAGGATATTTCTTACCACTGCTGCACAGATGTTATTAAGCTGTATATTCTTTTTAAGCCCCATATGTTTCTACATTACAGATCTTGTACAGGTGTTGGATGGCTGACGGCCAACTTTTTCTCTAACATAATGAGGAGAAAATAGAAATCTTTGTTTGTGCCCCTGATAAATTTATGCATGGGCTAATAGAAACACTAGATTCACTTTCCACTTTTACAAGTGCTTTTAGTATCTTGTAGTAGTTTGTGATATTAATCTGGAAAACAGCTATAAAAGTACAAATGTAACTTTTACTTACTTTGAACAGCTTTACCTGCTGATACAGAAGGGGATATCTGCTGGCTCCTCCACCTGCTGTACATAGGGCATCGGCATCTCAGTAGATGGGTATAGGCTGACCTGAAGTCTCTGTTGAGGGCTCCGTAGAGGATTGGATTTAGGGCTGAGTTGGCATAGCCTAGCCACAGCACAATGGAATATTCTGGCACTGTGCCAGGGTCTGGATGCTCCTGTAAGCCCAGCACTGTGAATAGGATGAAATAAGGTAACCAGCACACCACAAAAGCGCCAATCACTGCTGCCAGTGTCACCGTGGCTTTGTGCTCCCGCAGTGCCACAACTGTAATGCTGGAAATCACAGTGGTGGTAGTGGAAGAATTGCTCCTGCAGTTGTAGCTGGTGATGCAAGTGGGGCGTTCACTGACAATGCGCTTGGCCTGTGCACGTGCAATGCGAAGTATTCTGAGGTAGGTCCAGCACATAGCCACCAGAGGCAGGTAGAAGGTGAGGAGAGAGTCAGTAAGCACATACGGTCTGTTCAGTTCAAAACGACATTTCCCCTCCGAAGCCCAAGGCCCGTGGTTCTGCACTGTCCCGTTAACGGTGTTCCATCCCATTTGGATGGGCAAGAAAGACACGGCCAGAGACACAGTCCAGACACTCGCCATGGCTACAGCAACTCTCCACGGTAACACCAGTGATGCATATCTCAGAGGCATGGTCACTGCCAGGTAGCGATCGACACTGATTGCCAGGAGGGTGAGGATGGAGGCAGTGCACAACATAACATCCATGGAGATATAGAAGTTGCAGAAGACTGCGCCAAGTGGCCACTCTTCATTTAGCTGTAGGAGAGCAGAGAAAGGGAGGACTAAGAGGCCGAGCAGCAGGTCTGTCACAGCCAGCGACAAAATGAAACAGTTAGTGAGGCAGCGGAGACGTCGAGAGGCACAGACAGCCAGGCACACAAGTACATTACCAGCGACAGTCAGGAGAATGAGAAGGATCAAGATGAAGGCCAGCATTACTTTGGACAACATTATTGCTGTTACTTCACTGGAGTCAATCAGACGACATCATGACCGCTGCTTTATGTGAACCATTGTCCTGTTTTTGTGTCAGATTTTAATCAGATGAAGGATGGTTGCTTCAAGGACTCTCATTGATTAAGTGCCACTTAAAATCTTGGCCACCCACATGTAATTCTTTTATCTCCAGCTCTCCCTGTATTTCCAATGTAGGTAGTAACTGATTGTTTCCTGTTGTTGAAAAACCTAAAGAACAGATAAGAACAGATTTTCCATACATACTAATGACAGTAAAAAAAAAAAAAAAAAAATCCGACTGGCTGTTGGTTGGTTGTTGAACGGCTTTATGTCTGCAAGGCTGATTAACAGTGGTTCATGGTTCATCTTTCTGTCTTCAGCACCATTTCATATGGATATAGTGACACCTAGTGGGAAAAGACAAAAAGTACAATTAATAAGCCATTATGCCGTACAGTCACAGACACACACTTCTACACTCACACGTCAAAAAGATGCGGCTTTCTTATAAATTGGTTGTAACTGTAATTTATGTTATGTAACTGCTAATATACTACTACTGTAATAACCCTTTAATGCCTGCAATATTAAAGCAAAGGCAGCTAGTCAAACAAATGGTAGATGTCATATTAGGACAAACTGGGTGACACTGATAAGATCCTGTCCTGTTTGAACTGAGGAGGTCATGTGAAGGAGCATTTAATTGCTTGTAAATTCAGATTTTGTTTGCCAGAGAGTTTGTTGTTTCTTCTTTGAAAACTTCAGTAGTGTGTCTTTAAAATGACACATATTAACCTGTTGAAATGTTATTTAAGGTTGAAATTAGTGCTACATATGCTACAGCACCAGCAATGGCTTCACTTTTGTGCAGCTTTAGATGGTTGCATGCATGTCTTACACCTAATGTTTTAAATGTATAATGCATGATGCTAGTTATTTCATTGTGAGCTTGCACATAATTAATTCATTACATGCATCATCATATTTTACATGTATGCCACTCTGTATTCTTTTATGCTTCCATTTTACAAACCTGTTTTCAAACAAACAGTCAATCTGAAAAATATCTTTCAGTTATCGGTAAATATTTAAATCAAGGGCGTCTCATACACAGCCTAATTGTTGATATGACTGGATATAAAAAGAGAACTAGAGTGTGTAAAAGATTCTGTAAAACAATATGTGAGCAAATTTTCTATCAATAGCAAGATATTATTAACATAATATATAATAATAACAACAAGAGCACTCAGAAAGTACAACTCCTCCACGAAGGGCAATTGCTAAAGTTTTATGTTTTTATTACAATATGATGACATCAGTCTGTTAAGGCATCATTGTGTCATGATAGGCATCATAGTGAAAAATAAAAAGTGTGTTGTACAACTCTCTTTTTGCCCTTTTATATGATATGTCACTCAATATGTTTTCTCAAATGTTTTTTCAAGGACAACATTGGCCTCGGGTGCTAAAAATGATGGTCAAGGTAAAATATTTAGCCAACCTAGGTACTCATTTCTCCTAGTATATTCCTGTGAAATTTGAAGACAATCCATAGATTTTTTTTTTATTTATTTTTTTTGCTAATATGAAGTTTTCACTGGTTTTCATTTGCTGTGCCCATGACCAACTTGATCCAAATTTTATCAAAATTAAATCAGCTCGAGATGTCATTTAAATCCACCATCACACAAAATTTGAAAATTATATTTTGAAAACTGTGGACAATAGACTGCCAACAACAGACAGACAGACAAACCAACAGAACCAATAATATGCTCCCTTCCTTCGAGGGAGGAATTTTAACAAAAAAAAAAAAAAAAAAAGAGAGAGAAAATTGAGCAATCTCCGAATGCTAGTGGCAAAGACCATGACTAAATGGCTGTGATGTTCAGGCCTTCAGGTGCCACTTCATCCATAATACACAATATTGAGGTGGAAATCACCGCAAGGGTTTAGGAGCACTTCTGAAAACTGCTTTTACTAAATCAAACTAAATTTTAAAGCAGAAAACCATGAAAAAAAAATCTTTTTTTAAAATTAAAAATGGATAGAAGTGAAGTCTTTCACTGTCTTGTGAGCAGAACAAGGAACGAGGTTCATATTCAGAAAGGAAAAGGAAAAGTTTGGAAAATTATTTGCTTATAGAAATGGCTGTCAGGGAGTTTTAGGATTACCTGAAATACCAAAACTTGTCAGCTATGGATATTTTTCCCTGCTTGGGTCAAATAGCCCTTGGACACCTGTTGGAGGAGTTTGTTAACTTTTGGAGGAAAGATCCACTCACAGGTTAGAACTCTACTCTGAAAGGCACTGGGAAAACCAGATCTAGGGCTCAAACATTTATTGTGAATATGATGCAACACCAGGTAAATGTCTCGGCACTGTGTGACAATGCACAGGCTTTGCTGAGGTCTAGCTTCCTATACCAGTTGTATTCTCACCTGGATGATTAGAAGAATCCAAGTTTAATGCACTTCTGCATTGGCTTTCCCTCTAAGTTATATCTTTTACAATCTATCTCAACCTGAGTCTGAGTCTATAGATGGTGACAAAAGGTAAAAGGCTGTTGCTAAAGATGTGATTTATTTCTCTACAGGACAGGTTGTTCGCTACTGCAGGGCCATCAGGAAGGAAGTGGAACTTCTTTTTCGAATGCTGTGGTTACGCCAGCCTTCTAAAACAAACATGGCAGCCCATACGGAAAAGAAATAGTAAAAACTTATATGTGATTACTCATGAAAGTGGCCACTTTCATGAGTAAATCATATAAGGCTTACATGATTTACTCATGAAAGTGGCCACTTTCTCATTACTTTCATACATTGTTTTAGTAAGTATCCAAAACATACAAGTTTCATTATATAATTTTTCAAGGGATCTTATATCTGTTTTCACTCTTATATGCTTTTCATACAAGTTTCACACAAGACAGATACAAACTTTATAAGATTTATATATATCTTTTCCATATGGGTAGCCTTCGTGAACTTTTCACATGGATTTAGATATTGCTTTGTAGTAGTCAAGCACAGTGCTTAAAAGGTCTTAAACACCATCATTTCTCTATATTTTGCTGGGAATATGGGTGATGAGTGCACTGATTTATTGAAACATGCAAACTTGAATAGAAATATGGTATAAGTACTGTATACGGTGACAAGTATAATCAAAAAGAGAGTGATTATTCTTCAGCACAGCCTGAACTCTCTTGTAATTTCTTCAAGTAGTCTTCAGGAATAGGTCTCCAGGCTTCTTGGTTGACATTCATATTCTCTTCTTTGGATGTTTCCTGCCTTTTGTTCCATTTTCTGGCAAGATGATCCCACACTGCTTTGATTTGAGGTCCAGGTTGGGCAGGTCAGTATTCCATTATGTGTTTTTCTATCAAGGTATCCTTTTATTGCATTGGTAGCATGGAGGGGATCATTATCATGCTGAAACATGAAGCTGCTGCTAATTAGACATTTTTCAGATAACAACAATTTGTAAGACCTGCAGGGACTGATTTTCAGTACATTTTTCCTCAGTGTCACACATTTCTACCTGTTTCCTTTCCCGTTTCCTCATGGCCACTGGAAGCTTATTGGCCTTACTAGCATGTGACCCACATATGCAAGTCTAATGCAGTGTCCTGATTTAAATGTGCCCAAAGGTTATTCACTGTGTCCTATCTTCATCTTATTCCCAGCTTTCCTGTCTTTGCCTGTCACAGTCTGGCGAGGGCAGACTGTATGAATTGATGAGAAGGACCCAAAACGCAGACTCCAAGGAACAGGGAACAAAACTTGAATGTTAACAAAAAGCGAGCCATTTAATGAGGCTGGTAAAAGGTACAAACAAAAGGCAAGGCAAACTGAAGCAAAATTAACACAAACCTAAACTGGGGAATCTAAACCACAATATGAAAAAACCTGGACATGAAACCTGGCGTAAAGAACATGGAGTGAACAACAGACGACCTGACAAGGAATGACTGAAGACACACGGACTAAATACACACAGGAGGATAATGAGGGAAACGGAAACACATGGGGAAACAGCTGACACACATGAACATAACGACGTCACAAGGGGAGAGTAAAACTAAAAACATTGAACATAGGAACACAGGACCCCTTCAAAATAAAACAGGAAACATAATGAGACGCAGACATGACAACCTGAACTTGACAACATAAGAAACAGACATGAAACACATGAAGGGCAAGGGAGACTTAACAGGGGTTGGAAGACACAAGAGGAAACTAATAACAAATGAAAAGAAAAAATAACGAACTTAACCATATACCATAAACATCAAAATAAACTAAAACTCAAAACACTGAGTCATAAGAACCAGGATCGTGACATTTGCCCCGCTGTCCTATCACAATAACAATAAAAATAAAAACATTTTAAAAATATATATCAAGAAATAGAATGGCATCTTCACAGTGCCCATTCTGATGAGGATTCAGCAAACAGTAGATGAATCAACTGAAGGACAAGATGCATCTCACAGATTCTGTATCAGGTCTTTTGCAGTATTTTCTGCATTTTTAAAAAAAAAAAGACATGACTTCAAATACTGTTCATCTGCTGAGGTAGTTTTAAAGCCATTCTTGTTTTGTTCTCCACATCTCACGTTTTCTCCAGTTTTTAAAGGTCACACTGCACACCATGCAGCGATATACCACCAGCTAACACATCTTCGGGAATGACGTAAAAATACTATTTTGGGGGGTCAAACTTGCCTTTTGTCATGGATTAATCTAAAGAACACTGAAAAAATGATGTGCTTTTGTACCAGGCTGCTAATAACAAAACACCTAAAGATACAATTTAGTTTAAAATTGGTTCTACTCATTGGTAAGTAGTCTGTAATGAATAGACCCAACGTTGGTTCATCCCTTGAGTTAGGTGTCTTTTTATGCTTAAATAATTCATCGGTCAGTGTTAAGGGGTCAAATAAACAAAACAACATAAAAGCTTTCCTCTGAAAATGGACAGGGACTGGACTGAGATGAGTGAATCAACAACTAATTGTCAAAGAAGAAATTTCGAATGACCTTCAGAAAGCTTGGAAAACAACTGTTCAAGACCACTTATCCAAAATTACAAGAAAATCCGTCTCCTTGGAAGTAAATTAGAAAGAAATGAAGGGGGGCGGGGGGCTTAAGACTTTTGCACAGTACTGTATGTAGTTTTCCATTAATAAATAACAACCTTGAATGACAAATTATTCAAAGCTTTACATCCAGACGTTAATGCTTTGTTTTCTACATAGACCTTGTTTACAGATTTACAGAGCGGTATTTGTACTCTGAGAACACTAATGACATGTCGGCTTACGCTTTTAATGTGTGCCTGGTGGAATGTGGAAAACCACTACTAGATAGGTAAGAGAGATTGTGTGTGGGCAATGTGTGTCTATTAAATGTGGCTGCGTCAGTAGGTGGTGGGTAATGTTTGCCTCTCTGTTTTCTAACCCTGTAATGGATAATGGGAGATTTGCCAGACTTGGTTCAGTGCCACTTGCTTATCACGTTAGATAAAGATGCTGAGACTCTGGGCCGATGGCTTCAAATCAAGACAGGAAGAAAGAAAATTACACGACATAACGAAAAGAAATGTTTTAATTAAATCTGGTTTCACAGAAACCAGCACCAAATCTGTAATCTTTGAACTCTTCTAATCTGCACATTTCTATGACTTACTCAGCACTGAGCTACATCCAGAGCAGGGGTAGGCAACTCCAGGCCTCGAGTGCCGGTGTCCTGCAGGTTTTAGATGTCCTTGATCCAACACAGCTGATTTAAATGGCTAAATTACCTCCTCGACATGTCTTGAAGTTCTCCAGAGGCCTGGTAATGAACTAATTATTTGATTCAGGTGTGTTGACCCAGGGTGAGATCTAAAACCTGCAGGATACCGGCACTCGGGGCCTGGAGTTGCCTACCCCTGATCCAGAGCAAACACAGATAACAGAGCCACTAATGCATGAAGTGCATTTCCTAAATGCACGAGCCTTTATGTCTCACAGAACAACAGACAGACCCCAAATTTCACCTATTTACATCATCAAAATGTGCCACTCACTTTGTCTCTCATGCACATTTTCTTGCAGAGAGCTAGAAATAGATTTGGCTTGCTTTCAACACAGGCCTTACAGGCCTTACAGTCATTTTTTTTAAACAAGGGCAACTTTATCACAATCTTGGGCATACCATACAGAAAATCTATATATACGCTATGTATGCGTGTGCTTTTCTTACTTGCTCTGAGCTCAGTGCATTAGTTCAACTTCCCATGTCACAGTGCATGTGTGAGAACTTAACTATGCTTGCTTCCTGTATTTATCTTTGCATAAACATTTGTTTTAATTTTAAAAATTATATTATTATACAACCTTGACCAGTCACTTATAGTAAACACATAATTTATTTAGCACAAGATGCAAAAGACCCACGTACATTTGTCTTTCATCAGTATAAAGTCACCAATAGTCTGTGTAGATAGTAAAAAATAAAGTCAGTCAGTGTCATTCACCTAATGCTGGGAAACAGAATGTGGTGATGTTTAAAAATGAAAGAAAAAAAAAGATTTAAAAAAAAATCCCTCATTTAGACACTTTATTACTGACCATCTGTTTTCTTTCACAAACCACTCATTAGTTGTCCCTAATGGAAAGCAATGGTTAGTGCTACTGCAGCTGTATGCAGTATATAATAACACACATTCATGCATGCACATGTAGGTCTGCACTGACACACTAACATGACCCAAAACATATGTCTTGGTAATGGATTTTGAGGACCGTAATGGATTGTAATGACTGCTGAGTATTTTGTTTTCCACGGGATATAAAAGGCTGCACTATCCTCAGAAGTTTCTTGCGAAACAACAGTTTAAAAAAAAATGTTTTCAGGTGTTGAGGAAAAGGGTCGCATGGGTTTGTGGATATGAAAACAGCACTTTAAGAGTTCATCCTGTGTTTAATAAGGTGACGTCCAGTATTTTGAGGACTTAAGAGAGATGAAATATAAAGTGATTAACTGTTAATTGCAGCAATATTTTCCTGTCTTTGTCTTCTCAATGTAGGGAGATATAAATGAGCTGAAGAGGCTTCATCCTGTCTCACCCAGATCTTTCTTTACTCAGCAAGCTTGTGAAAAGAGTCCAATTTGGGTATAAGGATGAAAGGCAGGCAGAAAAGTACTTAGAACAGTGGCTCTTTACCAGACATGGTCTAAGCTCTGGGATGAGTAATGGAGTTATTTATCTCTCAGCTGGGACTCTCTGCCTAAATTGTGATATTCTCCAAATACCAAGTGTTCATCCTCTGACCTCTTTTTTTTTTTTTGCTCGCCAGATGCGTCTTTTTAGAAATAAACTAATAATAAATGGATGCTCCTCATCATCCCAATAGGTAATCAAAGTAATCACATCTATTGTGATAAATGCAATGTAATGTCTTTTGAATATGTTTAGATTGATCTACCCTCTCAACTGACTCCAAAAGATAATTTCACCCCCTGCTGAATTGCAAGGGGTGAAATTGCCTTTTCAGACTGGTTGCTACCGACTAGTCATGGATCCAAGGAATAACTCAGCTATACATTCATTTATGTTTCAGGAAGTGTGGCAATGGCCTGAGATTGTGCGCTGAATCAAATCTCTTGTTTTGCTATGAATTCATGCATTTTTGAGTAACATATTTATTTGATTATGATTGGACAGCAGCTAAGTGGTTAAATTATTCAACGGCAAAAAGAAGATTAGACTGTACGGCAGCTGGTGCGATTCTGAAAACGTAATTTTTTTTTCAACTATCATCAGATCAATAAACATTTGTCTAGTGCTAAAGAAGACTAGTGATGTTGAAAGTAACTCGTGGATCATGTGCATATATCGTCCATTAGAGAAACATAATACAATCAGGAATACAAATCTTTAATTCGTCTTAATACAGTTTAATTGGGTATCAAGTACTTGGCTCACTGACTTCCTCTGTTTTTGCAAAGCAATCTGTGGCTGTCTGCTTTGTTGTGAATGTGCGTGCATGTTTGTCTGTGTGTATGTGTTCACATTTGTCTTCCTGCTTGCCTTTGTTTCTGTCCTTTGGTCTGGGGTGCTTGGTAGGCTAGCTGTTGTGTTTTCTAACCAGTGAAGGAAAGCTGTGGAATCCTGATGAAGCATGGAAATGAAACACACTGCGACAGACACGACTGCAGACAGACAGGGGATCAGACACATAAAATATGCATAGACACTAACAGCATGCTTTGCTGTGGTACACGCACGCACACACACACACACACACACACACACACACACACACACACACACACACACACACACAAACACAAATGCAAGTTGGGTCACATGGGGTGATTGATTGCACTCAATATGTCATGCTTGACCTTGCCAGATCACATCTGTCATGTTATCATTGCAGCCATATAGAGTCCTTTACAGAAATAATGTTGTGTAATGTGGGTTAGACACACACAGACTTAAAAAAAAAAAAAAAAAAAGACCAAATCTGCACACAACTGTATCAGCTGGGATACAGCTGATACAGTTCATACAGTTACCAGCAGCACATTTGAAAGGGAACTTCTGAACTGCTGAACAGCAAATAAGATGCAGTGACCATGTCATGACACTAAACCACATCCTCTTGCTATTCTTGTAACCGTTTCTCATTCTTTGCTCACTTAGGTGTAACATCCAGTTTGAGCTGTGTATGTGGCGACCTTTATTTGAATAACTGCACACTTTAATTTTATATAGGCCAGCTTATGTCAGAGTTTGTACATCTTGCTTTAAATGTATGATATTGCATGTTTCTCAGAGAAACAGCAATGGTGTTTTAAAACAAAGTGGGTATCATTAGACGTGACTGCACAATGGCTGAAAGAGCATAGCTAGTCCTTCCTTAACTCCATAAAAATCAATGAAACCAGTGCAACAGTTAAAAGCCAGATTGTCTCAGTAATCTCTTATATACAAAGTGATTTACAACAAAATAATATTATTAGATATAGCCAATATTAAATGCCTATAAATACCAAATGTAACCTTCTGGAAATCACTAATTTGAAAAAATAGAATCAGGAATTTAATTATTTTGATTTTTATCAGATTTTATTTCCCAATACTCCTACAGTTTAAGGGATAAAATCATTATATTTTGTTTATCAGCAACTCCAGGAAGACTTTATGGATAATAGGACAATAGGACAATGCATAGTAATGTACATAGTAATGTACATGCTAACAAGTACATGCTAATATGTAACGCAGACATATTTGTAATGTCTTGTTATGTCACAGACCTTCAAAGTGTAAAAGAGAAATTATCACACAAAGAATAATCTCACTTCCTCATATTCAGAACTGATTACATGACCTCTTTGTATATTTGTCTTTGTGCCTAGTTCACATGTTCACATCAGGCTCAGAAGTGGCCCAGCTGAATTCTACACAGCTGCAAACCTCTGACATCTGACAGTTTCTATTCATGACCACGTCACTGCCCACATACGTACTGCTTCTATACTTTTTTTTTCCTCCTCATCTTTGCATTTAAATGCAATAAACTATAAAGAAAATCTGATATCAGACTATAAAAAGAGACTTAAATTGAATTTGCACTGACTGTGCTGTCAATTAAATACGGTTTCATCACCTATTTGACCAATCTTAAATGAATTTAACTTTTTTATTTCTATTAATTAGCATTCTTGCTTGGCTGCTGAAAAGCACTCAAATAACACAGTGCAGATCAAATATTAACTCAAGCTTGATTATGCTGCCTGGCTACAGCATTCGCCGTGTTTTCACACGTAGCTCATTTAAATTTGAAGACATATTAAACAGCAAGTATAAATTAGGAAACTATCACTCACCTCAGCGCTTCTTCTCCTCGTCTGTGATGACTGCCCTCGTTACACTGCTCTGCTCCCAGAGCGAACCACAGTCTTGCTCGTGAAGTGTGTGCATTTGTGTGCGTAACGAGTGTGTAAGTGTGTGTGGGAAAGAGAAGAGAGAAAGAGGAAGGGAGTAGCAAGTCCTCGTACAGCTCCATTCCTCTCTCTCTCTCTTTTCCCTCTGCTCTCTGTGCGTCTCCTATTGTTGTCGGCTCAACTCCTCAGGGTAATTTGCTTTTGAAATTATTTTAATGACACTGCCATTCTCTTGTCACATCTTATAAATTGTATGTGCCATATGCCAGAACAAAGAAGATTCTCCTCAACAGTTTGATCCAGACTGGCCGATATTACCTGAATAAATTAGGCAACCTGTTGTATTCAGCCTTAATGGAATGCCCAATAAGTCCAGTATGGGTTGAGAGACTCATACAGGAAGGCATGGTATTTGCGCTTGTGTCGTTTCTTGCCTTAATATTTCTTACTGATCTAAATTCTTCTGCTTTATAAACTTTCTCTGAGAATTGGAACCAGATGGGCTGGAGTGATATCAGCAGAGATGGGCAGTAACGCGTTACTTGTAATGCGTTACTGTAATCTGATTACTTTTTTCAAGTAACGAGTAAAGTAAGGGATTACTATTGCAAAAAGGTAATTAGATTACCGTTACTTTCCCGTAGGAACGCTGCGTTACTGCGTTACTAAAACCGTGATTTTTTGCGAGAATGTCTCATGACAGTGACATACGAATGTGCGCGAGAGAGTGATGCAGTGTGCAGCGTTTAAAGCGTGGAAGTACTGACCTTACTTTGAGTTTGATTCCATAAAAAGTGACAAAAACATTAGCGTCCATCGTGCGTGGGAAGAAAACTTCTTTTTACAGCGAAAAAACCCCTAAACTTCCAAGCAAGCACCGAGTGCGCAACGACGTAATGGGAAATTCACAGAGAAACTCGCGGATTCTTCAACTGACCGCGGCACACCTGCACCAGGGTAAACCTCCGCCTACCCAGTCCTGCTTTACAGGTGAAAATAGAGCAACAGGACCGCTGAGTCTTTGACTTTATTTATTTTCTGCTGTGTTTTACTTGCATCTATTTGAAAGAGTGAGTGTAAACACAAAAAATATTTTATTTTATGTGCTGGAATGTGTAGAAAATAGGTTTAAATGTTAAACAATTTTTCAGTCAGAGAATGTTGCATATAATTAAATTTTTGCTTGATGCATAAAGTTAAAAGATTAAAACTAATAAAACAAGTTAAAAAAGAGACTTTTCCATTTGATTACATTTTGTATGATGGATTATGTAGAAAAAGTAGAATTGGGCTGAAAGATCTATCGCTTTATCACCTCTTCAGGTTGTAAATCGTGTTTTTAAAAAGTAACTAAGTAACTAAGTAATTAATTACTTTTGAAAATAAGTAATCAGTAAAGTAACGGGATTACTTTTTTGGGGAAGTAATCAGTAATTAGTTACTGATTACTTTTTTCAAGTAACTTGACCAACACTGGATATCAGTGACCCATTGGGTCAGAGAGATTTCTAAATCAATCTTCCTATTTCTGGCGCAGCTTTTTAGTCAGCCTTTGTGCCTATTTTTCACATGCTTTGGCTTCTTGTGTGGCTTAGATCTCTTTTCCAATGCTAATTTATCTTCCAAACTTCAGTCTGAACAATCAAAAGTCATTGTCACTTCTCTTTTCATACTGTGTTCCTTTTTTTGACTCCCCGTCTCAGTGCACGTGGCCTAGCTCGTATCATAGCTGGGACAGAATTCAGTCTCCCTTTGTCTCGTTTTGTGCTTTCTCTTCCTGTTAGAGAGGCTCCCTCTGCCTGCTGCTTCTTTTTATTCCTTCAGCTGTACATCAGTTAATCTCTGTTGCATCTCTTTTTCATTCCATGCTATGCACCTTTAAGCCCTACCTTATTCTCCTCCTCCTTGAGTTCCAGTTTATTTCCACTACAAAACTATGAGATAACATATCTTTTGTCATCCATTATCTCTCTCTCCTTCTCACTTCGTATATCTATTTTTCTCTCATTTCCCTTTTTATTGTACACAAATGTTGTCAGTCATTTCTAGGTGCCAATTCCTAATATTTCACCTTTTTTCCGTGTTATATCAATAGCATGTCTCAGTCTCACACCATGTTTCCATAACAACAAGATTTCTAGAGGACCTTCTGGTATTTTGTAGATGGTGGCGAGTGCCTGACTGGCATTCCTAACTTGGAGTCAGTTCTGAGTTAGGACTACCAATGGCTCTGTTTGTGATGCATATTAAAAATAAGGCTGTGGATGGATGCCTTTTAGCTCCAGTGCTTTTACAGCAATTTAGAGAAATAAAATAATAAAATAAACTATTTAAGCTGGCAGAAAGTATGCGAAAGGTAGTTGGCAGTGAAACCCCATACACTCATTGGCTACTTTATTTGGTGCACCTGTGCAATTCCTCGCTGTCGCAAATATCTAATCATGTAGCAACAATTTTAGGGATTTAGACATGGTCAGGATGACCTACTGAAGTTCAGAGCACGAGAATGAGAAAGAAAAGTGATTAAAGTGACACTGAACTTCGGATGGCTGCTGGTTTCTGAAATATCAGACTATCCAGATGAGGTGAAATAACAGATCTGCAGATGTACTAGGAATTTACCACACAACCAACACTAGGGTTTATAGGGTTTGCAGATAATGACCTAAAAAGAGAAAATATCCAGTGAGCTGCAGTTTTCTGGATTTAAATGCCATGTTGACATCGGACAAGAATGGCCGGACTACTCAAGCTGATTTGGTGTAGCAGTGGAACGTGGAGAACATAATTACTTAATAAGTTACAGTTAGTTTTGTGAAACTGTGATAAGATGACCCTGCAAGTACTGAAGCAGAAGCAAGAAGAGCCTTGATGTCCTCAAAGGCTTTTTGACAGTGATCTGACCACTAGAACTTAACTTTGGGAGTTACATTAGTTAGAGGAACCACAGAAGAGAATTTTTTAAAAACTCATGGTAAAACTCCATTCCAAGAAATCACTGACATTGTCTCTTAGTAGTGGTAGGAAGGAACTCAAGAGCCTCCACTTTGGCTCTGAAGGGATGTGCGTTCTCTTGTTCAACCACCTTAACCAAATAGGTGGCCTTAGAAAACTCACATTTGGCAAGACTCATTCTAACATTTGCCTTAATTAGATGAACAAAGCCTGGATGCACCTAAGATGATCTTGACAGGTGTTGCTATATAAAACTACATCATATCAATACAGCACACCCTTCCAAACCAGAAACGATGCAGTTCGTCTGGCACTGGAATGTGGCAGGAGCATTTCTCAACCCAAATGGCATAACTGTAACTGAAAATAATTCAGCTGGTGTGATAAAGGATGCAATTTCTCTAGCATGTGGTGTCAAAGTGGATGGGAACATCGAACAACAACGCAGTGTAATAATTGAGCATAGCCCATCCTTTCTAGATTATTCTAGAAGGGAAGGGCTATGCTATTCTATATGTCCTAACATTAAAATCAAGATTATTCAAAGACACTTAAGACAACCCTGTTCGAAACCTTTAGATTTCTCTAAGACCTCTCCAACTACTCCCAACTGGATCCAAGCAGTTCCCTGGAGTAGAAATGATGTAGTTCAGTTCTACGAACTGGTGAAAATAGTAGGAGCACACATTTCCTTGTAAAGGCGAATCAACAAGAGGCAAAGGGTCAACACTTGGTCCCCTAGGCCAGGGGTTAGCAACCTTTAGCACCCAAAGAGCCATTTGGACCCGGTTTCCACGCAAAAGAAAACACTGGGAGCCGCAAATACTTTTTGACATCTAAAATGAAGATAACACTGTATATATTGTTTTTTACTTTTATGCTTTGTGTGAACAACTAAGGTGTGTTGCTTATGAAATCCATGAAGTGCTACAGAGAAAATTACATTTTATTTATGTAATTAACACATTTTGAACTCTTAAAGAAATATAACAAAAGGAAAGACACCCAGCTGAACTAAAATGATCCATGTAGCAAACAAAAACTGTTGGAGCCGCCACCTTATATCGCCTTTGGGCTTTTGGAGCTTGACCTGACTTTTAAAAAATAATTGGAAAAAAAGCACTATGCTGCTAAAAATGAAAAATAGATATTTGCAAATTCTGCCTAAATATGTATTTTACCTGTTAATGTGTGTGGCGGGGCGTGGTCTGCAGCGCGCTGCAGGGGAGGCGGACGCACCTGAGCGGCACCCGCAATCGCACCTCGCCGCCTTAACGTCTGTGCTTCTATGCTGTTGTGTTGGTTGTGTCGGGCTGTGGCTTTAACACCGGCTGTATGCGTACAGCAACCGTGTGTGAAACGTGATGTCACGGGGGTGGGCGTGGAAAGGATTTTGGAAAGGATAATATTGGCATTATTGCAGCAAACCAGCCAATAAATGGATGAAACACATCGTGACTGGGTTCCAGCGCTACACAAGGGACCTGCTTCAAACATACCACCATGCCAATCAGATTACTTCTTCCATGTGAGGGTGAAGAGGTGACCCTCCTGGATAAGATGGTGAAGGTTTGCTGCGTTTGGTGAACAGTGTGATAATAAAACCAGAGAAGAATGAAACCTGCTCCTGTTAAATATTCTTAAGTCTTGTGCTGTATAAATAGCGGTATTTTTTCAAAAGATACAGTAAATAAAGTAATGTTAGAAATGGGTGATATCATGTAAACACCGTCATGATTTTGTGTAAACATTTTGTCATTTGTAAACTATAAATGACTTGGATTCTACACTGTAACTGATGTGATGTTCTACAAAGTGGTTTTAATTTAAAAAAAAAAGAGGCAAAAATTTGTTTGTTTCTTTATTCAACTTTTGAACAGTGGTACTCAGTCAGTACATATTCAGTAAATGCAAATTATTTACATGGCAGTGCACTACAGGCATAAATCTAGACCCCTAGATAAAACATTATGGGTCATCCCGCAACCCACAGCTTTACTGTGTTCCAGCAAAGTATCCAATAGCAGTGACAACTCCTCCACAGTAGCAGGTGGAATTTTTCTTCTTTGAGGATGGCTCCTTTTACCATTCTTTTATGACTGGTCTGTGTTT